CTTTTCTGGAACGCCTGCTGTCTGGGCCTCTGCCGTCAGTCTTGGGACTTGCCTTTGCTTCTTTCCTGAGTTAGACCTGTTTTCTGACATCTCATGTCTTTCTCTTTCTTGCTATATGCTCTCGTTTTACTGAAGCACATCTTCCTGTGAAAGAGTGTGTGGAAAGTAAATTGTGGAGTCCTTGCATGTGTGAAAATGTCTTTATGTAAGTCTCATACTTGGTTAATACTTCGGCTGTGTATAGAATTTGAGGTTGAAAATCATTTTCCTCAGAATTTTGAAGGCATTACCCTGCTATCCTCTGGTATCTGCTATTGCTGTTGAGATGTCTAATCCCATTTACATTTTCATTCCTTAATACGTAGGGTGACTATATAATTTACTGTCAAAATATAAGGTGCTAGCCTGAAAGAATACTAGGACAGCGGGGGTAAACCAGGACTCTGGGGTAAACTGGGATATGCAGTCACCCTCTTTATATGTGACCTATTTTTTCTCTAACCATTTAGGATCTTCTCTTTACTTCTAGTGTTCCACATTTCATGATGATGTGTCTTGAAAGGTCTTTTTTCATTCGTTGTACTAGATCTTTGTAGGCTCATTCCTGTCCTTCCAATTTGGGAAAATTTTTGTTATTATTTCTTTGATCAAGTTCTCCCAGCCTTTGTTAGTCAAATGTTTGACATTCTGGATTGTCCTCTAAATTTTTTCATTCTCTCACAAATAAGCAAAGATTTGCCATCTTTTTGCCTTTTTGTTTTATATCTGAAAGATTTTCGTATATTTATCTTCTGGTTCTTCTATTGAAATTTAAATTTTTTTCTGTTTTGTGTTTAATTTCTTGTTTTACTCTTTTCTCATAACATCCTGTTCTTATGGAAGTATATCGTCTTTCACTTCTCTAAGGGTGTCCATTCTAAGTTCTTTTCTTTTCTTTCTCTGCATTGCTTTCTTGAGTCCTCTTTTTTCTGTTTGTTTTGGTCTGTGTCTGAGGCTTTCCTCAGATGCTGGTGATCCTTAACTGTCTCTTCATATTTAAGAGTATGGCATTCAAAAGTAACTCTGAAACCTGAGCAGAGCTTTTTGGCTCCTTTAACTGTAATTATGCTGTGAACTAACCTCTTGGTTGGGAATACTCTGAAATGTCAGAACTTGGAAATCTTATTTTTTCGAGAGAGGGAGGATTGACCCTGCTGTTTCCCCAGAAAAGACTCCTCTGCTCTCCTGCCTAGGAAATTTTGTATCTGGGTGCTAGCGTTCTGTATGCAGTAGTCCCCTGTTACCGGCGGTTTCGTTTTCCATGGTTTCAGTTACCTGCAGTCATCCACAGCCCAGAAGCAGATGATCCTCCTTCTGAGGTATCATCAGAAGATCAGTAGTAGCCTAACACTACGTGACAATGCCTATGTCATTCACCTCACTTCATCTCATCCTATAGACATTTTATCATCTCATATCATCACAAGCAAAGAAGAATGAGTACAGCACAATAAGATATTTAGGGAGAGGGAGACCACATTCACATAACTTTTATTATAGTATATTGTTATAATTGTTCTATTTTGTTATTAGTTATTGTTGTTAATCTCTTCCTGTACCTAGTTTATAAATTAAACTCTGTCCTGGGTATGTATGTATAGGAAAAAACATAGTATACATAGGGTTCAGTACTATCCGCAGTTTCAGGCATCCACTGGGGGTCCTGGAATGTATCCCCCGTGGATAGGGAGGGACTACTGGATAGGGTGGGGGAGGAGGCAGAAGGCCCCAGAGATGAGCATAGCGCCTTTCCCTTGTACGCCATCCAGCCTCTGCCTCATATCCCTCAGTCTGGAGCGTCTGTGGCTCAGTTGTTCCAGAGAATAAAACTTGTTCTGCCGTGAGAGGAGGTGGTAGAGGGGGTTAGTCACTTGGCTGTGGGGTAATGGAGAAGGCCTGGTGGTTCTGCTCCCTCCCCCTTCTCCGCTTGTCGTGGTAACTGCCACTCTGAGAGCTCGTCCTCACAGGGTTTTGTGGGTCTAATTAGCTCCACCCTCACCTTATTCCCCCTGGGCACTTGGGTGATAACTTCCTTTTACTCCTCCGTCTCCTGACTGTCTTTGAAAAATTTATGAAAATCTGCTCTCATTAGCTCTCCCTTTCTCCTCTTTCTTGTGGGTTAATACATTTATTTTATTCCTCTACTGTCTTATAGAGGGGTTGAGAAGGGAGAAGAGATAAACTAATGTGTTCAAGCTGCCATTTTTAACTTATTCTGGCACGCATTTTTCTAGACAATGTATTATAAATGCTGATTAGATGCTGAATAGAGCTATCAGTGCTATTCCTCACATATGTTGTTATGGGTTAAATAGGTTTTTGTGGGCTGACCTGGAAACCTAACTACATCTATCTATGATTTTCCCCTAGAACTAGAGAAACAATCAAGCCTTTCTGAATTAACTCTCTCCCTGGAGGAATTATAACAGACTGGAACAAAAATATTTCATACATCTCTCCATTTTCCGAGTCCCATAGAAAATTAAACGTATTGTGTCATCATTGTCGAAATAAAAAACTCTAATAACTAACAGAAACCTGAATTTTAATGGAAAAGTTTGTTCGTAAAGTTAAGCTATAAAAATTGAACTGAGAAGAAAAATTAAATTCTTGAGCAGTATCCCTAAAGCTTCATTTTTCAGCAAATTTTTTGAAAGTTTTCCTAATTAAATTTGACCCCAGTGATAGTGATAGCTGTAGGAAATAGCGGTCACCATGGGACTAGTTTGTTTATTTGTATTTTCTTGCTACTTTTTTATTCTTACCTTGTACACAACAGGATCTTCTGAAACATTGGACTGAATAAACTAGACTTGGCCAGATACACTAATAAAACCATTGTCCTAATCATGAGTGACTAAGAATAGCTGTGCAAGGCACTTGGGCAGTGGAAATGCAACCGAGAATATGTCAAGTACACAGAGCACTTGCAAGTCAGTGCCACAGCAACTTGGTGTTTGAATGCAGAGGCCACTGCAAGTGGAAGAGATGGGCTGCAGGTGTGCGGCTCCGGCTTCCAGCCTTTGGGAAGGGCGCATGGGGCTTTCTTCAGAGGGTCAGCCTCTTGTGCTGGGGCAGCCTTCCATGAGCACTTGCTCCCCGTGGCCATGACGCTCCCAGTCTCCAGGGATCAGAGACAATTAGGAAAACAGGAACAGTTGTTGTAAAAAATCTCTTATGGGGCTGGAACGATGTAAGGGCACTGAGACGCAGCCATTCCATTATTTTCCTTCCTTTTTATTATTTGCTTTCTCTTCTTTTTCTGTGGTTTGTTTTTTTTTTTTTTCTTTTCTTATTAACCTCTCCCACTTCTCCCTCCCAACCTTGCTTTTGACAGAACATTGACTAGGAACCAGAAGCCCATTTTTGCTTAGCCTTAAGGGCAGGTGTTCACAGAGTAGCAGTGCTACACAGGTTTACTGTGTCGTGTGTCTGTGTAACACTGGATTTGGATCTTGTATTTAGCTGTCAGAAGTGACTGTGATGAAGTAGGAGAGATAAACTGATAGATTGGCTGCCAGAAAGATGTTGGGAATCAATCAGATAAACAGGGTAGAGAAATAGCTTGCTGTTTTCTAGTGATAATAAACCAGTGGCCTCTGGTCCCCGCATTTTTAAACGTAATTGCTGTAGTAATGTCCAAAATAAGCAAATGAAAAAACATCACAGGAGATTTCTTAATTGCAACTGAGATATCCTTTTCCATTTTGCAATAAAGATTCATCTTATATGGAAATGAATATTTTTATACATTTGTTTTACTTCTTCTAGTGCCTACTTACATAAACAAATGAAAATTAGAGAGTGATCTACTTTCATAGGAATTTATTCCCTCTTCTCTATCCTCCCACAGACTTCAGCTGTTTAACGTGGTGAGATAATTATATTGCTATCATGCCTTACCCACAAAATAATTACTTATTTTTGTGAAGAAACAAGTTTAGAGTTAAACCTGTGTTATTGACAGATGATTAGCAGGAACTAGTTTTAGTGTCTTCCCTTAGATTTCTCTCAGAAGATTTTTGGAATTTTAATCTCTGCTGCCATTTCCCTGCATATACCACTTGTACAGGAGAGATGACATCTAGTTTTATTATTGTAATTTAAAATTCTTCTCCTTTAATGTTTAACTTTTAAATCCATTGCTTCTGTTCACCTGGGACTTTAAGATCCAATGCAAATTCTTAAGTCTCTGTGAAAGATATAGATTTAGACTTCGATTGCGTGCAGTGGACTACCCAGGATTAAGAGGAGAGCAGGAGAGTAATTTAGAGTTCTCATGGAGTTAATTGTATAGGATGAGAGACTGGTCCTCTGTGTTGTGTTTACAGTACGCACATACAACTTTCTTTAAGTTCCGTCTCAAAATTGTTGTGGCTGTGAATGTGTTGGTGTCATATATGGTTAAAGCACTTAATAGTAAGCATGGTAGAGTACCAGCTATGGAAAGCAAGAGGATGAAGTCCACACTTTTAATTATATATAATAAAGGCTTTTGCCTGCGGAAGACCTTGCTGACTGCTAGAGGTTATAGGTCAGAAGTTAACCATGTACCATTATCCTGTTGGTGAGAAGCTGATGCATTTTTCTTTTTGCCACACAGCCCTTCCCACCTGACCTTTTAAAGATTCTCCATTGATATCGATGAGGTGGACAAAACTAATCATAAAAACAATGAAGGGAATGTTGCACACTCATTGATCCATTTGAAATGAACTGCAGTACAATAAGTCTTCCAAATGGACTTCTGTGCTCAGCTATTGCCATAGCCACCTTTTTAAAGATATATAAATATGAAAGGGTTAATGGGAATTCAGTCATGCTCTTGCCACCGGGTTGTCCCTTATTGATTGTAGTTTTAGAGCTGTCACTATGCCATTCAGAATTCCTACTGTGCCCTTTTAAAGTCGGTTGGTGCTGGGAGATGATAAATAAATCAGTGGCTTTCCTTTTTCCTCTAGCTCCTTCGAGAACTCATAGAACGGAAGACCAGCTCCTTGGATCCCAATGATCAGGTGGCCATGGGAAGGTAATTTAGATATGGCTTTCTGTTCATGCAAGCAGCCTATGTAATAGTTTCTCCCTTTGAGTCTCGTTAATTCTGTCTCCAAAGCAGAGATTGGCTCTATAATTATAAAAGTTAAGCAAGATAATAAAAACTAGAAAGACAAAGTGATGGAAATCCTTATTGTTTACCCTACATTGCCTTAAGTGCAGTTTGAATAAGAGATTATAAAACACCTATATGTGTTTGTTTTAGAAAGTCCTTCTTATGCTCTTTGCTCTCTGGTTTCGGTTGTGATTGTATCTGTATCAATCTCTGACCAGTGGATAAAAAGCAACCATCCAAATGTGTGCTCTCAGCTGTCAGAATGTGGCACTGTGCACAACAAGTTCCTTGCTCACAGTCGAATCTGCTTTGTTAGAGTCTGCCCTAATTTAGACCTCCACCCCTTCAGTAAAAGCTTCAGCACAATTAGAAATGGAACATGGCAGCATTACCCAGATGTCAGGGTAGAATGTAAAGTAGTGAAGGAAGGCTCTTGTGTGTATGCTTCATCCTGTGGTTGGAAAATAAAAAGGGCATTTAGAGTGCTACCTAATGAATAGTGTACATTTAAATAGCCATGAGCCATAATTTGCAAAAGCATGAAAGGAAACAAAAGCTGCACGTGCCAGAATGGGATTCTGGGCAGAGCAGCGTTTTGAGAATGCAGTGAAAAATTTGTGTTGATGAAATAATTTTGAGTAAAACATTATTTGAATTTTAGGATAGGATGTTGTTGATATTTTGTATGTCTCTGGAATGCTATAGAGAGCTGTTCACTATAAATTTAATGTGATAGAGCAAATTGCATTTAAGTGGTGATTATATTGTACATTTATCTGACTTTACAATAAAATAGATTATGGTAATTAAGATTATATTAAGATTACAGTAATTGGATTTCCCTAGATTTTTCTTTTCTGATGTTGAGTTTTCGTTGTATAAATCAGGTAAGATGACTAGCTGCTGCTGTTTCCTCTTCTTTTTTCACATTTGTTCATATGAGCAATTTATGATGATTTTCTTAGCCCAGTATCCTTTATTTGAAAAATTAATTCCATTTAACCTAAAATGACTGCAGAATATATGAATCTTGTTTGGATCCTGATTCAAACAAACCAACTGTAAAATTAGGACAATGCAGGAAATGTGAAAACTGACTGAATATTTGATAGTAAAGAATTATTGTTAACTTTTTTTTAGATGTGGCAGTGGTATTGAGATTATATTGGGGGGAAAGAGCCCTTACCTTTTAGCAACACATTCTGAAATATTATAGACGAAATGAAAATTAAATAAATAAAATGACTGTAAAACTAGTATCAGTAGTGGATAATTATTAAAACTTAGCAAAACTTGGAAAGCACAAGCAAAAGCAGATATTAACAAAGGGAAAATTAGATTTGAAGGATTCACTTGTTCAAACCATGCAGCAGTTGCAATATTAGTAAAAGAACATGCTGCATAGCTAAAACATTAAAAGCAAACCCAAGCAGCTATACTCAATTTGATGTGTTTTCCTGCAGACTGGTAGATTTAGTGCTTGTCACAGCAACTCCAAATCTAAGGAGCATTGTTAACCAAATTTGCTGTAGAATTTCCCAGCTGCCATTTGTTTTTTTACCATTGCACAAATCCTCTTCAATTGATTAGTCACTTTGGCCTCAGACTATCTTGAGGAACTTAATATAGGTTGATGATTTCTTCCTGCAAGGTTGTTAGTGAGAAAAATTCCAATTTGTCAATACGTATAACTATTTCTGTTAGTGATGATGCATAACATTGCTTGTGAATTTCCCAGGCAATGGCTTGCAATCCAGAAGTTACGAAGCAAAATCCACAAGAAAGTAGATAGGAAAGCCAGCAAAGGAAGGAAACTTCGGTGAGTAACTTTTTAGGAAAAATGTTAACATGATATGTTACATCTCTTCTCTTGCATTTTGGCTATTATGTCATTTTTCTGTTTCTTTTGATGATTCTATTTTTAAGGGTCAGAAAAATAACTAAAACAATATTTGAGGCTTTTTTGAGACTCAGTTTTTCTTATTCTAAAATGGAAATAGAGTTTCAGTTACTTTTTCTTCTCCTGTTGTGAATGGATGGGTTAAATAATATTTGCATTTCCCTGAAAGAGAAATAATAAGAAAATAAGATGAGAGTTGAAATTGTCTTAGTTTTAAAAAGTGATTTTTGTAGAACAATATAAAATTTTTATTTTGGAGTCTTATTTATAATAGGATTATGTTGGTCTGTTTTCATAATGCCATACATGTACACAGTATGCTGAAAAGATATAAATGAGGGATTCCAGAGAAGGTTAACAATGTGCTTAAATGAGACAAGAAATACAATTTTTGTGAGAAAAAAGAGAAATTTCTGATTGTAGGAAACCCCTCAACCCTGTGAGCTCTTTAAGGAGTCTTACAGGTATGCAGACGAAAAAAGGAGCAAGAGTAGGAAGTGACATTGTGATGCTTTTAGACTTAGATTCCTTGTGACTATATATATATTACATGGTATCATTCACACAAAGCCTCAGTGTCAAAGAAACTACTTGAAATTCAGGTGCGTGTTAAAAAAAATCTTACTCATTGTGTTAGGACGGTTTTAGGCAGATAGCTAATCCCACATCCTTATTAGAGCCTGCCTGTCATTAAATTCCCTTTAGACAAATGTGGATCTATCTCATTTTTAAATATCTTCAGAGAAGCAGATTTCACAACTATAATTAACCTGTTTTAGTATTTAACAAAACTCATCAGGAAATGCTTATTTTTCTTTAACTTTGCAGAAGTGCAAAGTAGCTTTTCATCATCTTTTGATTCAAAGTCACTTTTCTTAAATCTCAGCCTAAATTGTTATAATTCAACTTTTTTATTTGTTGAAATTTCCAATCTTCATACATCTCCAGGTTCGTTGCAGTGTAATAGCTAAGAGCATGGACTCGAGAGCCCTGCTGCCTGAGTTTGAATCCCAGCTTTGACATTGGCTGGTAGTTACTTTGGGCAAGACCCTTAAACTCTCTGTGCTGGTTTCTTCATCTGTAAAATGGGGGTGATGATAGTACCAGACTCATAGGGTTGCTGTGAGGATTAAGTGGGTAAGTATATGTGCAGCTCTTAGAACAGTGCCAGCTACACAGTAAGCACTATAGAAGTATTTGTTGCCATTATTACCATCATTATTGTTGCTATTATTATTCCAAGACCAGGTCAGCCTCCTGGCCTAGTGTTCATTTACTTGCTCACTCTCATACATGCCTCTTTTGTGCCTGTCTCTTCTACACCCCCACCCCTGTAAGGATTTAAAGAAGAGTGTTACTAATAGTACTTTATAATTGGTCGGGCTGAATGAGTACTTTATTCCTTAATTTTGAGATCAAAGTTTTCTCCAATACTGTACTTTTAAAATTATAGCTTTATAAGGCTATACATGTTCTCTCGAGGGAGGAGCCAGGATTTCAAATCAGGAGACTGGCCCTGTCTGGCTGTATGATTTTTGACTGTTCTTTATTCTCTTTGCCTCACTTTCTCATTTACTGAGTGGAGATAATAAGCCCTAGTGTATAGATTTGGTTTGAAGATTAAAATAATGTGTAAATGTCTGGTGCATAGTAAACATTCGGAAATGTTAGTTTCTTTGGTTTCTCTTGTGTTTATCTGTTGGCATTTGTTGCAAATATACAGTATTCAAAAGAATTGAGAGAGGAAAAAATGCCTTTTCCACATTATTGTGTTGTTATGAATTTTAAAACTATTGGGGCAAGTAGCTATATTTGTGTGCCCCTTGAGGGCAAGAATTGTGCAGCTTTATCCTTTAAGACAGTTCCTATCTTATTATCTACTGTGGTGCCTTGTAGACCTTAGTCAGCCAGAAAATTTTTTTTTTTAATAGTTTTATTTATTTGTTTTTCCCCCAAAGCCCCCATAGACAGTTGTATGTCATAGTTGCACATCCTTCTAGTCGCTGTATGTGGGACGCAGCCTCAGCATGGCCGGAGAAGCGGTGCGTCAGTGCACACCCAGGATCCGAGCCCGGGCCGCCAGCAGCGGACCACACGCACCCAACCGCCAAGCCACGGGGCCGGCCCCAGAAAATGTTTTTGGATCATTATGACAGTAGAATTAATATGCCCATCAGGTGATGAGAAATGGCTGTAGCTTTAAACATAACACAGATAAAGAAATCTGGATGAGTGTTGGAGAAGTGAGTACTTTTCTAACATGGCGAGGAGAACGTGAGTCTGTTGTTTCCCAAATCAAAATAAATTTATGAGAGTTGTTATTTATCAGGTTGAAATTAAAAAGATTTTGTTTTAATAGCAACTACTTTTTTTTTTTTTTCAACAAAGTCTTTTTATTTCTTTCTCTAGAAATTACACTTTATTGATTAAATCACCAGTAATTTTCAGCACAAAGTTTAACGTCTTAATGACCACCAAGGTGTGGGCTCTGGGGCTTGCTCTGCCTCTCCCGGTCCATAACAAGGTTTAAAGGGAGAGACATCATTAATAGAGAGCAAGTTAGGTGGTTGCAAGCCTCTTTTCCTAGCCGTTGGACTGCTGGTCTTATATTAATTTATTGAACTAGCCTCATTAAACTGTTCATTAGAGGTGTGTGTCACTGCAGTTATATACTTCTGTTTTTGTAGCATTTTGATAGTGATTTAGATTCCCATATCCCCGTAAATCCAGAGGCATTTAAAATCTTATTCTGGCAACAGGCAAGAAGGAAAGAGACATTCTATTTAAACAGGGGCTAAACAGTAAAATATAAGAAGTGGTTTACTAAAATATAAGAAGGTTTCTTTCTGAAGTTCTGGAAACAATATTAGGTGCTGGCTAAGACCTCAAGGAGCATGTAGTCTGGAGAGGATGGCAGACAATAAGCAGACAGTGACGCTGTGGGGGAAGTGCTGTGGTAGAGATCATCCTGGTGTCGGGTTACTTGATTCGGGGAATGCAGACTGCTCTGGAAGACTTTCTATAAGGTGCGACATTCATACTTTACACTGAGCAGGCTGGGAAGAAGTGAGTTAGCCTAGGGAAGGTCCAAAAAGAATAACGTTTGCAAAAATGCAGACTTGAGAGTGTGCATGGCCCTTCTGGGAACTGCAATTCGTTTGTTTTGGCAGAGACTTAGAGAGGATATTGGGGAATGGCAGGAGGGGAGGCTGTATGAATGAGTGAGTGCTGGATCATGGCCATGCTAAGAATTTGGACTTCATTTCTAGAGTGTAGTGAGTTACTGAAAAACAAGGAAGACTGAGGAGCCGTCACAGATTGGAGGAGACTAAGGAGACATCACAACACAACTGGGTGCCATGTGGGGTCCTAGATTGTATCCTGGAAAAGAAAAAGGACATTAGGATAAAAATGAGTGAAAGTTGAATAAGGTCTATAGTTTAGTTAATAGCATTGTACCAATGTTAATTTTCTGATTTTGATAATTACACTATATTTATGTAAGTTATTAACACTAGTGGAAGCTGGGTGAGGGTATACATGAAGTCTCTGCACTGTTTTTGCAACTTTTCTATAAGTCTAAAATTATTGCAAAATAAAAAGTAAAGAGAAAGGTAATAAAAGGTCATGTGTCTTAAATTGTTTTGCAGTTGTGTCATCCGTATTTGCCTGGCTCTCCTTGTGACCATGAATGTGTGGGATGTGGTCAGAATCAGAGTGATCTTTATTTATAGCAGTAGTGATAACTAACATTTATAAAACTCTCCGTCAAGCATTGTTAAGGAGTTTACCTGCAGAGGTAGAAAAGGCACAGGCTCTGATGCTCAACTGTTGAGGCTTGAAATCTGACTCTTCCACTTAGTGGCCTTGAGACCTTGGGCAAGTTACTTTACATCTCTGTGCTTCAATTGCCTCATCTGTGAAAAAGTATAATAAAAAGTTACGTCTCAGGATTGTTATGCAGATTGAATTAGCTAGTTATTTATTTATTTATTTATTTTATGGGTGAGGAAGATTAGCCCTGAGCTGACATTTGTTGCCAATTCTCCTCTTTTTGCTGAGGAAGATCAGCCCTGGGCTATACTTGTGCCTGTTTTCCTCTATTTGTATATGGGACGCCGCCACAGCATGGCTTGATAAGCGGTGCATGGGTCTGCACCCGGGATCCAAACCTGTGAACCTCAGGCCACTGAAGCAGAGCATGCGAACTTAACCACTACACCACCGGGCTGGCCCCAAATTAGCTAATTTATATAAAGTACTTAGAGAAGATAAGTAACTCACAGTGTTAAAGAGCTACTAAGTGGCAAACTGGGATTTGAGCTAATTGGTCTGATTCCAGAGCCCATGCTTCTAACCTGTGACTGTTGAGTTGCTTTTCCGGTCAGGACCACCTGGCCTACACAGGCACCAAAATGGTATCTTGGCTGCGTTAGAATCCTGCCCTGAAGAATTAAACACATGGCCCCAGCTGCATGAGAATATTATAAATAACTTCCTTAAATTAGACCTCAGGGAGAGTTGGTAGGGTGTGCCAGCTGTCGTCACTGACACCAGGTTTCACCAGTGAGCAAGTTTTGCTCTTGGTTTGTAATAGGGTTGGAGAGATAAGATTTCCAGAAATGTCACAGCAAAGATGAACGTTACCTTGTGGAAACATTAGTTTAAATGATAGCGGGTCAGTGGCATCAGCCTGATGAGACTTGCTAGTTGGATGCTAGAAAATAATTTATATAAAAAAGAAATATTTTGGTTTCTAGACATAATTATAACTATTGATTATTAGTATTTTACTCAGCATTATATATAAGTAGATCTGATCATGATTTAATCAGACTTCATAATGTAAATGAATTAAGCTCTCAGGCCTTTCATAATGAGATGTCTTACTGTGTTTTCTATTCTTCCACAACAAAATTGCATTTATCTTTTCTTAGTATGTTTGGGAAAAGGTGTTTTAATGCTAAAACATGCATCCATCCTCAGCAGCACTGAGATAGATGAAATGCAGTGCATTAAGTACACATTACTAAATTGTCTTTAATCTGATAACTTCTTAAAGCCTGTCTTTCATCATGCAGTTAATAGTTATTGAATATATTGTATTAAAGTGTAAAGGTATTCCACAGAGCAGTGCCATCCAATAAAAATATGTATTACATATGTAATTTTAAATGTTCTAGTAGCCACATTTAAAAAGTAAATAAAAACAGGTGAACTTAATTTTAATAATATGCTTCATTTAACACAATGTATAAAA